TTTTTTTGAGTAATGGACTTTTTTAATCTTTTTATTTGAAGAAAAACTAAAATCAACTCACATTTAAAAATATATTTATTTGATTCTATTATTATTGTAAACGAAAACAACATATTCTTAGCAAAATATTAATAACTCTTCACAGAATCATACACCATTTTTTCTCTCCAAACCGAACAACAATCAACCTTTTCGATCCAAAAGCGAGTTTATTTAAGTTTCGTTTTAAATACTATTAAAATCATAATGATTTTTGGAAATTAGTGCAACAAATAAAAAAATTTTTTTTTTTTAATATTGGTTTTTATATTAAAATTGGAAAATAAAATACATTTTTTTCACTTTTTTTAAATTTTGTCAATGGAATGCAGTTTGGAAATAAACGACTAATTTAGATGAATAGGGAATTTTTTTGGTATTTTTAATAGCTTAAATCAAGTCTTGCAACCCACTAATTAATAAATTACCTAATAATACTCTAATCATAAAACAAAAATTTTTGGTTTAAAAAATCTTCTGTTAATAGTGCACCTATTGGTTCCTTTTGTGGTAACGTGGACATTCAAGTAATATCAGTTTGTCAATAATAGTAAAAGATTCTCATTTTATACCCATTTTTCACCTTTTCAATAAGCAAACCATATATTTTAACCTGTTTAACATCTCTAAATCAGTCAATTTTGTTATAATTTTAGATAAATTTCACTTAGTCGATTTATGTTTATGGTTAATCATATGCAAAATTCACCAAATACACTTAAAATTAATGAATTAGTCCTAATAGCTTTCCGTGTAACGCTGACAGGCCAGACCCTTGTCAATTAACTGAAAAAATTTCCGGACCCAATTCGAACCGTTTTGGAATTAAAGATCCATTTCGAACGACCTCGTCTGTGTTCCTTTGGGTTCATTTATGTCTTGTTCATAACTTAGGTCATGTTTAGCGTCAAGAAATCTAAATTAATGTGTATTACTTAATAATATACTAACGGATACTGCTTGTAAAAACCGCAGAACAACGTAAAAAGGTTTTCCAAAAAAAAAAAAAAACATTGCATAGGATATTTCTCCCAATAAACGATGAATCTTTTTTTTGTAATTTTACGATAGGCCCACTTACCGGATTAAGCCCTCCCCACCTGTACTGGTACCAGACCTGTTGCTTTCGTCATTCCTTCGCAACCCAGGACAACTTCATCACCCATTTTAGACGTCATAGTACCACTAATTTAATTATTAAATTGAAACCTACGTTTTTTTAGTTATCGTTTATTAAGACGAATATCCTATGGAATATATTTTTTAGAAAACATTTTGGCGTTGTTCTGCTGTTTTTACAAGCAGTATCAATGAGTGCAGTATTAAAGAATATAGTTTTGCAAACCATTTTTCCAACTTTATCGGAGAAAATTTATAAGAAAATCACATAATATACACATGAGATGTGGATGAATTGTAATATTCTAGGAACCTATATCACCTTGTTTTAGGAAAGATGAAATAATATTGGTATATAAGATGAGTTATATAAATGAGCATAGGAACGTTAGGCCTTTATAATGTTGTTATTATTAACTAATACAAAGTTCTGACAAACTTATGGAGTTTTAAAACCCTTACTAAAATACTATTGTTAATTGAAGAGATTATCTATCTTGAAGGGATTTCCGAGCTAGTTTCGGCAGCCTCAGAAATCAAAGGATAATATAATCCCCGAAACAGAATTACGAAAAGGATGTATGAAATGTTTTTAAATCGCGGAACTGTGGAGCTTTGTTCTCTACTTTCTGAGAAAATGTATGAACCCAATAACAATAGCTAATGTTGTGATTCTCTTCTTCTGACAAGATATCGGGTGTTGGCTTCATAATTCACAGATCAAAAAGATAAAGGGTTTAACAAGGATTAAACAAAAAATCTATTTTAAAAATAAAAAAACTTCATTCAATTAAATAAAACCATTTTGCAACTTGAAAAATCCTGCGTTCACCATACGCTTATAATAGCCGTGAGAAACTTTTGAGAAATCCTAAAACCATCATCGGGTTCATCTTTAATAATAAACAACTATTATTATACTCGTTGTAGATAATTTTGTAAACAGAGTGTGTTCATTTTATTTTCCCACGACGTTGAAATGATAAGAGATTTCGATTTATTAATCTATGATTCATTTCAATTTTTAAATGCAAAATTCAAATTCTGATCCTTTAATGTTAAGGTTTTGAGTGCAAATAATCGAAAAATAAAATTTAAAATATGTATAATTCATATTTTTCTAATTTCCCGAGAACCATTATTGGAATTTTGACAACAATACGGAGGAAATATACATGATACTTTGCAACATGAGTATAAAATAAGACTCGTGATGTCAAAATATGCAGTTATTGCTTAATAAAGTCTACATAAACTCATTTTACAAGATTTAGAAAAACTTTTCTACCTGGAACAGCCAAGAGATCACGTGATCAAAAGCTGATTCCAAATCCAAATAAACAATGAAACATTATAGTGAACTATTTGAATCCGTAATTCACAAAAATTTTTGACAGAACATAGCTCGAAAAAGGAATTCTAGAGTTGCTAAGAACTTAATATGTGTATCAATTGCCAAATGTACGACAAAATTTAAAGTATACTCATAAGTTATATTTTAGTTCAAAGCAATAATTTTTTCGTTTTTGGAGAAATGTTCCTTATGTAGTAAACCATACATTACATCCAAAGTTATGAAAATAAAATTAATGTTTCATCTGTGATATATAAAAATAGTTAGTATTATGCCAACTGTATAACCTTCCAATATGTGCAAATGAACATTTATGAAGAGCAATATTAATTTTAGAAAGAGAAATATTGTATAGTATTTATTTTAGTTTGAGCAGAAAGTCTTAAAACCAAAAACTTGTATTGATTCATGAACTTGAAAGAATCCCTGATAGAAAGTGAAAGATGAAAGTGCTTGGAATTTGTAAACCTCCTCACAGGTTTAAATATAAAGTTTGTCTAAATTTGGGTACTAATATTTTAATACAAATAACCAAAAACATATGAACAGCAAGTTTTTATGCCTCATTGAATATGAGAATGAAAAATAAAATAGATTTAAAATAACCAGGAGGGTATTTCCAAGTTGTTTAAGCAAGGATATTTGTAGTTCATTGGTTAATGTCATTGTAAAGTTTGTATAATTAGTTGGGATTTAGTATAGAGGTGTATTATTATAAAAGGAATATAAATAGCTAGTTTTTATGATTCATTGAACATAAAAATACCAAATAGAAGCATTAAGTGGCCAAAAAAGCATTTTCATGCTATAGAAACCAGAATACTTGCACTTTATTGGCTATTATAATTATAAAGTTTATGTGATTGGTTAGGTTTTAGAATACATGTATTTTAATATAAAAGACATGTTAATAGGTTAAGTTTTTAAAAAAATATAGAATTCAAATATCCAAAAGGACATTTCCTTTTTATATTTGTATTTCATTGGTTAATATCATTATATAGTTAATGTAATAGGTTGGGATTAAGTTGATATGTGTGTTTTTGGTAATATAAAAGATAAAATACTAGCAATAAGTATCATACTTCTTTAGAACTGATGTTTTGTATTAAGGGTTTGTGGGTATTTTAGGTTCCATAAATTAAGTTATTAGAGAACTATAAAGTGTTAAAATAATTTAAGAGTTTCATGTTACAAGTTGTAAGTGAAGCCCATTTTACACGGTCAATTGTCGAATCAATAATAATGAAGCAATATTCTCAAACGTGGTATACGTTAATGTCAATATAATTGAGACAATATATCCCTCAGACGGTGAATATATTCAATATTGACCGTGTAAAGACTCGTTAATTTCTCAGCATTTCGTGTAGTGGAGTTTCTATTTGTTCAATATTTTTACATTGTCAGATTAACTTTATCGATTTTTCGATTTTGGTATTATTTAAGTAATGGAAGGTTATAAGGTAACATCTAACTAAATGTAAAATACATATTGTTTATTATAATTGGTTGGGATATCGTATATAGATGTGTGTTTTCAATAATATAAAAGGAAGACTAATAGTATCAGTCGCATACTTTTTTTTAGAACTTGTGTTGTTTTAAGTTAACATGAGGTTCCGTAAATGAAGTTATAACTGAATATTGAAGTGTTCAAATAATTAATAATCTTCGTGGTACCAATTGTGGGTAAAGGACGTTTTCAGACTCAAGTATAGTGTTAAGAGTTTTTGTTTGTTCAATATTCCATATTATTTTCTAGATGTTTCCTCTTATATAGTGTTATTTGAGTAACGGAAAGCCTCTATATAAAGGAAGAATACATGTAAGTTCTAAATTAATATACTTATAGTAATTTGTTGGGATTCAGTATAAATGTGTTTTCAATACCTTAAAAGGTAGAAAGCTAGTAATCAATATTGTACTTTAGCACCTGTTCTATATTAAGGGTTCATGGGGTTTCATTAATGAAGTTATTAGAGAACATTAAAGTGTTAAGATGATTTGTGAGCTTTATATAACGAGTTGTAGGTAAGAAAGTTCTAAGTCTTTCGTGTAATATTAAGGTTTTCTGTTTGTTCAATATTTTACATTGTTTGATTTATTTTCTCGATTTTCAGAGCCGTAACCGGTGATTTTCTAGATGTTTCCTCTTACATAGTGCTATTTAAGTAATGAAAGGCCCCTAACAACGCCCTATCATAAAGACATTCCATCTCTCACACTACTTAAGATAGAAGGAGGAGGAAAAAAAGGCACCTCGGGCATTTTCGAAGAGGGACTGTAATATGGCGTCAATTTGAAGCTAAAGGCATAAGCTTCGAGCTTCCCCCCTCCTCGGGATCTCCCGCCCTGCCCGGGAAATAAAAACGTAAACAAAGGGCCCAATGGGAACAGCTGATCGTGCCCCCACTCCTTCCCCACCAGCGGTGGTGGGGATAGGGTATATAAGCCGCTCTCAGCTGATGCCGGCATACAGACGGCCCAGCAGTCGAGTAAGAGGCCTTTACCTAACCATTCAAAACAGTCACTCATTAATAAAACTCCGTAAGACTTACGTGTTCTAGTAGTTCCTTTTTTATAAGATATATATATATTCGGTACAGAAGTTTTAAAGTATGGCGGCAGAACTTCTGTGTTGCGAGAGGTCCTGCGAATGCAGGGCATATTTCGACCCTAGGCTCCTGCGGGATAGCAGGGTCCTCGAAAATCTACTCAAGACTGAAGAATTATACACCACTAATAGTTCCTACTTCCAATGTGTCCAATCAGAGCTTACTCCAGACATGAGGAAAATTGTCGTCGAATGGATGCTAGAGGTTAGTTTTCTATATTTATTTTTCTCTAAATTGTTTCAATATTTCTTATCTATCTTACTATCCTCTGAAGATGATTACGTCACTTGACCCTTTTGCTAAATATTCAGCGGAATTCCTCGTCTTAATCTCGCTAGATTCATTAAAGTATTACTATAATTTTATCCAATTATATATGTATTGAAAGTGAAATTCCATGTTTTTTTCATTCGAAGTCGGGACTTTTCTAATAGTCTATTGTTGCCACCTAACAATGTTTCAACTGTTTTGTATCTTTGGAATGTCATTAATTTTTTTTTGCTTTGTTTTTTTCTTTCATTCCTTTGAAAAGTTCCTAGAAGTAGCAGACTGGAGTATGTTCTATTTTTTGAAACACCATTAATTCATGCATTAAAATTCTATTTTAATAATAATCGTCATAACTAACTTTTATGTATGTGTTACTAACAAATCCATACAATTGTCAGTAATTTATCAATATATGTAAGATTTTTTAGTATCATGAATTTTATCATGATTCTGAAATTATTCTTTTATTTATTTTTAATTACATGTTTGCTCATTTAAACTATTTTCCATTTTTGGCTAAAATGTCCGAAATTTCTTGCCTAGAAATCTGCCATTCTCGTCCCTCCGGATATTCGATAAGATATCTTTCGACTTCCGTCGCGAAAAATGAATCTTATTCTGTTATTTCAAGGGTGCCCTTCACCTGAATAAAAATTAACATTTTTTATATTTAGAAAGGAAATTTATTTTTATGTTTTCTTCAAATTTACAATTTTTTTTTAATTTGTTAGGAATTTTATTAGGGTTTATTTTTCGATAAAAAAATTTGTTTAATATTTCCTCTCTTTCTATTGCAATTTTATGTAACTTTAATTATATTTATTCTACACCTTTTTTAATTATGTGTGTCCTATGCTATGTAATATATATTTCATATGTTATATAATATATTTGTCATATAGCTTGTAGTTTTTCTTTTCTAAAGATACTGGGATTTCACGGCTACCAGCTGTTTGAAGTTTATTGATAAGTTCCCGGTATCCGTTACACGTCATTTTTCTTCTAACACCTGGAATACTTGTGGTCTATTCCTGTTTGCATTTCTTATCTGTTTCATTCTTAATTTTCTTTCCTGGCGCCTCAGTGAATTTGCATGCGTGAGAATTTCTGTGTTGGATTATTATAAACTATTGCGCCCGTATGATTATTGTATTATTAACTCTTTTTTTAAATAATATAATATATGTTTTATTATATATTATGTTGTGAAAATATTTTAAATTTCGTTGATGCTATAATCCTAATTGAAAATCGAAGGGGCTGGAATTCCCTTTCATTTCACTCTCCCTTTCAAAGAGGAATGCCGTCTATCCCATCGCCGCTCATGTCTCGAATTTTTTATTTACAATATTTTAATCTATAACGTTTCTCATTAATGAAATAATAACACACAAATTAGATTTCTATAAATATCGCATATTTTCATTCATGGTTATAATTTAAATTTAGAATGAACAGTTATTAACGTTGTATTAATACAAAGAATAAAGTATTATTGTTCTAAACATAGACGTTTATGTTTAAGTCGGAAATATGAATGAAAAGGCCATTCATTAATTTTTTTTTTATTATTGCATTCCTTAACTATTGCTGTGTAATCATTGAGGAATTCATTTATTTCATTTTTTTTTTTTGTGTTCATCAAAGAGCCGCCGATTTCCCCCCCTCTTTTTCTCTGTCGGCATTCCTAACACTTTTCAACAACTTGTTGCTCGCCCCGCCGGCTCCAGAGTGGTAAACTAGTCGGCGATTAGACTCGATTAACTGAAAGACAAGGAGACACAATCTCCATGGCCCGTGATGAGCATGATTTCACCCATATTACACCTACGGACACTTATTTCACATTTGATACACAGAGTGTACTATTGTTCCTCTGGAGGAGTAGGCTGAATTATGTATGAGGCCGACAGCGAGGTACTTAACCATATCCTGTCCCGGCCCCGGATTCCTCTCTTGTCTATCCGATGGAAGTTTCATTGACCGAGGCTTCTTGGAACGAGGATCTTTTCAAAATGGATATCTAATCAGCTGTTAATTTATACTGTTTTAATCAGCTGTTAAATTCGAGTTTTAAACAGCTGTTAATTTTTATAAAAGTACGATTAATTATTTTTCCAATAGCTAGTCCATTTATATTAATTCATTTAAAAATTAGCCTTATTTATTTTTCATTTTTTTATTTCCATCTATAATTTTATCTGAAAAAAATATATTCACGTCCAATTCTAAATTTTTATGAATAATATATTTATTTTTAGAAAATCTTTCCTTGAATAGTCATTTCTTCCTTGATATTAAGTCATATAAATCGAGTGGCTGGCTGGATTTTTATTGTCAATATTCTATGATTTTGCATAATGGGAAAACCGTGAGTCTCGGATTTTGCAGGAAATCTTTAGGAAATTACTTAAGTCACATTGATAGATGAAATTATTATTTAGAGTAAAATTATGAAGTTATCTCATAAAGATTAATTTTAAAATTATCTTCTCATTTTCTTGTTATAGTTTCTTGTCCCTTTTTTCTTGCCCTTAGGCCGTTCTCTGAAACAATCTAAAAAAAATTATCTTTACTCACATTATACTTACGTTGTACATTTTATGAAATAAGTTAATCGAATGTCTGTCCTTAAAAAAATATAATAGTCCTCCAATAGTGCAAATATTTCAACACAAATTAGTTTTTAAGTAATTTCATTTTTTTTTTCTATCTTCCAGTGCCATCAAAATTAGTCACAAAACAACATATACATATTTTCTTAAAGTAATAATCTTACATCCTAATCTCGAATTCAGGATTATAGAAATCAAATATCTAATTTTGAAAAACTTCAATACTGTTTTCAGCGAATTAGGAATCAGAAGTAGTATATTAGTTTTTATATTACAACTTGTGAACGGAAGTTGACGATTTGCTTGTCTAATATTATCTCAGCATCAGAAAATTTATTATAGAGACGAGCTTTATTAAGTTTTCTATATTTTGTGTCGTTTTATCTTTCTATTAATCTTGTTATGTAAATCTAGTTATTATCTTGTCTTTGAAAGGTATTATTTAATGGGAATTAGTTCTCCTTTTTCGAATATATCTATTAGATATTTCTAATGTTTTGTATGCACTGTACGATACATCCTGACAGTGGCAGATATAAGACAGGCGACATTGCACGCACACCTCTTGGAATACCATACTCTTGGACAATCTTGATATTCGCGACAGATCCTCCGCCGTAATTTGTTCTTCGGCTAAGAAGTGGCGGAGGTTCCCACAGTCTGTCAGCTCCTGATGGAACATCCATCCGGGACCATTGTCGAGAAGTCGCCGTTCAAATCCTCTGCCCTTGGTCGCTCTTCTATTGTTTCTCGATAATCGGATCCTTCAAACAGCTGTTTTCTTTTCTCAATAATCTTCATTGTTTAATATTATTTATTTAATCAATTATATTTATAGGAATCTTCCGTTACATAATTGATTCCTTTTATCTTATTTTAAGTCGGGTATATTCTTAAATGTGTGGATTATTTGAGAAGATTTCGTAAGATTTTATTACTAAAGAAGGAATGTTATTCTGATACTTTCTCGGAAAGTGTGGATCATGTTCATTCATCTTCTTGGTTATGTAACTTCATTCATTCATTCATTTGTAGTGATTAGTTCTTACATCATCAGTGCAAATTGTTTTTGCAAGTTTCATTTCAATGTATTATAATGTTATTGCACAATATGTTAATTTATTATTTTTAATAACAGACAAAAAATTAATGTTTTTCAAATGAATATTTTTAAGAATTTATATATTTTTATAATCCATATATTTTTTATTTTTACAATGTTCGATTTACAATATTATTATAACTCATATATTATACTTTTTTTTTATCAAAACCAAGATCGGTTATTCATATAATTAAATTCAAATTTGTAATTATCTCGCTAAATATGGTTATTGTTGGTGTTTGTTGATTCAAAATTGAGCATAGTTCTTCTTTTTTTTTTTTTTTTCAATTTTGCATTTAATAAATAGTTAATAGTAAAAATGACTAGTAAATCTGTTGGATGGGTTCTGAAGCTTATATTTTTACGTTAAGTCAACCAAAGGCTATTTAAGGGCCGCCTAAAACCCTCAAGAATTTCACATATCCTTTAAGGAAGTCCCCTTTTTTATTTTTCGCACATTTACCTTTCATGCTCACTTGTATTTTTTAAAAATGTAAATGGTAATTTTATATTAAATATCAACTAAAATATTTTATATATTTAAATTTTTTGAAATGAAAAATTCTTCATTTTTGTTTACTCATTTAAAAAAACAAACAAGATAGGTGGTATAATAATTTAATTAATTAAATTCAAAATTTTAGTTAAATATGTTTATTGCAGGTGTATTTAAAAAAATTAAAATTCATTCTAGTTTCTCATATTTTTTTTTTACATAATCAGCACTGTTTTGCGCACATTTTGCTGAGGGAACCCTCATAGCTTTTTGGTAATTTTTGCGCTAAGTTCAACTCTGTTTGCTATATTTTTTTTTATTTATAGACAGACAGTTACGTTCGTTTTTGTTTGACCTCAGTTCTACCTTTTCCTAAACGTTCTCTACACGCCTTCAAGATTAAATTTCATGAACTGGTTCGAAATTTCCTTAAACGAATTCCTGAGTACCTTTCCAGTTAGCATTGTTAGTAGCGTGTCGTAAGGGCGAGCGTTCGTTCTCTACCGACTCATTCACAAGTACGGCTCGTAGTGACTTAATTCCCGGCGGTTATACCCGAACAATTACGGAAGAACTGGCGAGGAATGTTTCCACCTCTTTATGTATATTTCACAGCCGAGGGAACAAGTGTTCGGTATTAGTGTCCCTTTGTTTAACACTTATTGTTTGTGTTTGCTTCCATTGTTGACACGTGTCCCACACGTGTTTGTCCACGTGGGACAGGTTGAAAGTCCTCTTATGATAATCCGTACCGTCCGCGCGTACTTCGTCCGGGATGGACTAGTATGTACCGCTATCTATGTTGTATATGAAAAAACAAACTGCCTTAAAAACAATATATAAGGATTCGACATTATGAAGATTATTTCCGGATATAGAAATTTTATGCGTGGGCGTGCGGTCGAATCTGCACATGAAAGACGGTTTGAACTGCGCAGTATTGAGTCATCTGAACTCCGCACAACTTAGCTTTCAATTTTCGTAACCTGGTTTCCTAATTCTACGGTCACGAATTGCTGCGTAGAAGATATTCTTATTTCAACTATAAAGTCGACGAAGGTTTATTCTTCGTAACACACAAAAAAAAAAAACTCAACTTTGTGTTTTCATCCTACGTAGTGTAAATGGTGGATGAAAATTATTTAATGCTACCAATAAATTTCTCTGTGTAAATAATAGTTTTTTTTGCATTCTCAAAAATAATTGAATTTTTACTTATACATCCAACTTAATTTTTTTTTTTTTAGTTTAATAATTTCAAGCAAACTGTTAATAAATTATATATAAATATATTATTTAAAAAAATTAATCTTAATTTTTCTATGCTTAAAAATTTTTTCTTGGAAACTTCTTGCAGTTTCTTTTATTTTATTTTAGTATTAGGATATATAAAAATAACATGAGCTCGGTGATTATTTTACAAATTGCATAGCATTTAATTACATATGTGCTGAGCTACTTTTACCTCCTACTCTTCTAATACAAAAATAAGATTTTAGAATAAAAATTTATGCTGGAAATGTTTTGTTTATGTTGATAAAAATTTTGTTTTATGTTTTTTATGTTGTTTTGATAAAAAATAACACAACATGAACTATAGGATACATGTAAATTAAAGTTATACAATTAGAGCAACGAGTTGTGCAATTAAATGAACAGTTGCATAATTTGTAAAATGGGGGTTGGACCGCCATTAGGCGGACAGGGGGTAATCCCCAAGTAATTAAAAAATTTTTGATTTTATTTATTTATGAGCCAGCAGTACCTGAGATTATTAATACACTTCGAGCTCCCTACCAAATTTATTTGTATTTCAATAAAATTTATTCTGATTAATTAATATTTTTACTGAAAAAAAATCTGTATTTAACTCAGTAATTACTGTGCGAAATTAGCCTGTTCTTATTTTCATCATTTTCGAGCCTATATTGTAAAATATTCCTCTTAATTTATTTTCACGTTATAAAATGATACTTTTAATTTTTTTTTTTTTTTGGTTACTGTAAATAATCTTTCGTTCGGAATAAAAGGTTTTGTATCACATATTTATGAATGAAGTTAAAGGTGAAACATAAAAGAAGAGTTTAATTTACTATTATGAATTAAATAAAATATCACTAAAAGCTATCAATATTGTTTATCTTCTCTTATTAAATAATTTTTACCCCTAAAAATTTTTCATATTTAGAATACTATCGACTAAATTTATTGTTGGAATTTTTCCGTAACTTCATGTTTTGCTACTCATAGTAGTATTTACATTGGTTAGGGGGTGGTTAGGTTGACTTCATTTACGCCTAGATTTATGACTATTTCAAATTATGCTTGTTTAGTTAGAATTTAGAATTAACAATTTAAGTTGGTTAATTTTTTTAATTTAAATTGTTTTAAAGACATATACTACAGTAAGACCAGTTATTTCGCCTCCTGTAGCCTCGATGTCCTTTTGATCGAGTCTGTGTGAACCAACCCTTAACAGAAGGGCACAGCCGGTTGCCAACCCTTACGAAATCCCTTCCGCCTCCGTGTAACAATTTCAGTACTTCCTTTGTGCCCCCCCCCCCCCTTGTTGCCTTTCAAGACTCTCTTATTATTCTCAGCCTTTCTGTGTGAGAACTGTTCAATAGCCTCTCTTACAGTCTGCCTTATAATACAATGCTTAACCAAGTTATTTATTTTTCTTTTCTTTTTTTTTTTCAGGTGTGCGAGGAGCAAAAGTGTACTGAAGAAGTGTTCGTACTGTCGGTGAATTTCCTCGACAGGTTTCTGTCGGTCGTTCCCTTAACTAAAGCACATCTTCAGCTAGCTGCTTCCGTTTGCTTGCTAATGGCGTCAAAGCTGCGTGAACCTAACCCACTCAGTGCCAGGCTCCTTGTACACTATACAGACTATAGCATATGTATTGACCATATACCGGTGAGTACGATGTACATTTATATTATTAAGGATACAGGAAACAAATAAGAAATCCCACAACGCTAAAAAAAAAAAAAAATGTATATCATAATTTAAAACTCTAGCAAGATAACATAAACTAAAAAAAAAAATCTAAAATCTATTGAAATTATATCATTTTTTTTCCTGTATTCTTCATTTTAATTAATAATTTAATTTAATTTTTTTATCTGCATATTTCGACGCCACCATGATAAAGTAACTATTTAATGGAGCATTTCCAACGATGTAATTTCATTACTTTATCATGGTGCCATCGATTATATTTCTAAAAGATGTATTTTGTCGGTACCCAATCATCATATCTAATGGTTAAGCCATCATTTTGAAGATTTTTCTTCTACTTCTGTTGGAAAAATTAATATAAAAATAAAGTATGTGCGAGATTAATAATATGAAATATAAATAACAGATAATAACTCGTTTTTATTACTTACAGTATGTAGATTTTTAGTTTCTGAGACATTTAAATCAATATCTTCAAAATAACTCGTTATTTGATTTTCAATACTATTTTTTTCATTTTCGGCTCCCTAACACGGCTTCACGTTAAGATAAAATTTTTAATAATAGCTCATTACAAAGAGGATGAAATGATGAACATTTCTCTCGCTAATAATATGCAGGTCTAATTTTTTAGTTTTTCGAGATATTTTAATCCAGTTGATAAAATACTTCAATTAGTAGACTCCAGCCGACTTTACCCGAGCGTTAAGCATCGGAATTTTGACGGCTCAGTATAATTCACTATCCACAAAACAAGTTTTCACTTTAAAAAAATCATATCACATCGAAATTTTAAGGGAAAAAGTTAAGAAGCTAGAGAGTTCATATTTTAATGTAATAACAGTACACTGACATTATATCGCAGCTTCTAAGATTGGGTTATTGTCCAATCACACTTTTTAATCTTGGGAATATGTTAACTTGGGATAAGTGTTCTTGAAGGATAGCAGTTCATATTACACCGAAAAGAACTGATTACCTCTTTTGTAAAGAGAAAAAAAAAAAGGATTCCGTAAATCATTGCCTTGGAAAGATAGTGTTTTCCGACCGGACCATAAAAAAATGCTACATTATGTAGGATGCTTGGGCGCCTCAGGGGATATTTAACATAACTGTACAGGGCTACAGGTAACAGGTACCTGGCCCTTCGGCTATGTCTGAGTCTATTCTCAGATAACATGTTTTCGGTAAAAAAACAAAATTTAATTTCGTTATATGTGACAATAATTGCATTGAGTAATTTTTTATATTTGCTGATATGAAATATCAATAATTAGGTTAAGTGGAAAATCGAAAACCGCAATCATCGGACGGTTATTACCGAATTTGTTAAACCTGAGACATTTTATTATAAATGACATAGAAGCTAGGAAATGAGTTCTCATAGAATATTAACATCTATACATATGTTTAAACGAGTTGCTTCTAGTATTTGAAGAGTTCAGGTTTACGTTTATTTTTTATCTTCAAGAGTGCCAATAATTTTATCTTTGTATTTCTCTAATTTCGGCAACAGATTGCCCTTCCACTTATCGAATCCGCTCCGGCGCCGCGGCAAAGATATCACCAGCCCAAAATTTATCGTGTGAAGAGGACAGACGATAAGTGACTCTTTTTTTTTTTCTTCTCCCACATCGGCTTTGCTCTATGAAAAACCCTTTATCAGCTGGTAGAGGCGTTTAAAAGGACTCGCGAATGTGGCCGCCAGGATAGCAACGGCTGCACAGAAAAAAAAAAAAAAAAATCCGACGACATCTGCCTCCTCGCGAATTCCGAGTGGGGAATGAGCAGGATATGCCGTAGTGTTTCCTCTGCCCCATAGTCAAGGCCTCGCAGGATTCAAGGGTTCGAGGACGGTCGCGATAGCAAAAATTTGCATTCAGTCGAAGTATAGTTTCCTCTAAAATAATTTACTACTGAACAAAATTCATTGATCTTGGTTACTGTTATTGTTATTTGAAATACAATATTGTCTTAACCACATTATTAAATCATACTATAATATCATAAGCTGTTATAGGAGGAAATTCTTTAATAACGTGAAAATAAACACTGTTTATTAAAAAAAAAAAATTGAAAGTGCAGTAGTGTTGCTTGAAACCTGTCTTGGTGCTCTGCTTTACAAGAACAAGACCGCTTAACTGTTGCAAGACCAAGACTAAATAGAAAAAAAAATAATAATTTTTGTGAATAAAAATTAAGGAAAAATATTCTCTAATACTTGACAATTTTAGTTAATATATGTAAAGAATTGGTTTAACCAATATACTTTTACACTTAACTCTTCCAATTTTTCATTCGAACTTAATTAGGTTTCCCCAATCTGAAAAATTACAGTAATATCTGTATTGTAATAAGTTATAGGTAACTGCAAGACTATTGTGAGACTCGTCTTGCTCTCTCATTTGGGAAATACTAAAGTGGAGTGCCTAGTTTTGGAATTATATGTATCGATTAGTTATTTCCTCAAAATTTAATTTTGTTTATTTATTATATCCAACACTAAAGGAGATAGGGATCATTGAATTTAATGTTCTAAAATTTATTATTAAATTTTAAGTAAAAATAACCGACAGGTACCTTTTAATTGTGAATGATGAACTCTATAATAAAGAAATAAGAAAAAGTATAAAACTGATTTTAGACCTAAACAAATTGAATTTTAAACTCGAATGGAATTCAGCAATCTTGCAGTGTTAACGACCCTATAGGACAAGTTCCATGGAGCGATGATAAAATTCCTTCAGAAGAGACACAGAGCGTTCCATTAACATCCATGGAACCGACTGTTGCTATGGCCATTCCGAACAGGTTCCATCGAGGGACAGGTTCTTGCGGATTAGGAGACATCAGGATTTCGGGTCATTTGGTCGAGTAATGGCCGGACAATTTCGTCTCATTAAGTGCTAATAATGAAATGGTCGATTCTCTTTCACATTCCAACTAATTACTGATGTGTATATATATTGCAAATAATTTATAAATTATGAGTTTCTTGCTACTCATTGTGCTGGTGTTAAAAAATAAATATAATAGAAAATGCTCTTTTTCATGACACGGATATATAATTAGACTACTAGAAGAATCGCAAAACTCTTCAGGTTTTCTATAAAGCCTCCCCCCTCCCCTCTCCCTTTCTCTAGTTTTAAATGCCAGCCCGTGCTGAAGAACATCCAGTACATAACTAATTTCTTTTTTGGCTTCTTCGGGCGATGATCAGATTTCCGATGGCAGTCTCCCGTCCTTGAACCCGCGACAGTTTTGGCATTATTCATGGACTGTGCCAGCGGACTCTTTCTTCGCGGCACGTCCTGTAATGGCTTCTATCTGCTATAATTTGGTTTTGATATAATCTGATAAGGGCCTTCCCCCCCCCCACTCCCCAGACCTTGCCAAGGTGAGCTGCCTGCCTTCTTAGTCCTCTGGTTTTTTTTTTTTTTATTTATTTACTTGACTTTTTTTATTTTCGATTCGTGCTAAATTACATCCAGTGTCCGCCTTTAAAACCACCCGCCATATCCAGACATGGGTTGATTTTTCTTTGAACAGATTCCGAACTGGCTTATATTTCATGTTTGTATAAAATTTATTTTTGAAATTTATAAAAGAAAAATTTATAAAAAAAGTTGTTGGGTTTCAATTAAATAGAAAAAATCGAACTGACCACAGCAAATTTAGTTATATATGAACTATTATTTTTTAAATTCTACTTCTACTTAAACAGTTTTTAAGAAGAGGAGAACAGTCAAATTTCTTTGGGAGAAGGGTCATGCGCCATAGAGAAATAAGACAAGATAGGATTTTGTTTTATTTTCTTTCATATTTTAAAATTTGGAAAAGACGTTGCATTTTATAGTTTCCATGCTCTTCTAATGTTTAAGTAAATAGTAAATAAGTAATGCTATTTAAAGTAATAGATTTCATTTTTTTGGGGGGGGAGAGAGAGGGTGGTGGCTTCAGCCCGAAAAAGCTTACTTTTTTTAAATAAAAGGTTGATTACTTTCGAAGAAAAAGAAATAAACTTAACTATCTATACTGAAGGTGTTTAGGTCATTCTTGAAGTCCTATTGAATGTAATTACACGAACAATAATACTTTTAGAGATAGTTTGTAAATATTTTTTTCTTTTAAGTCCCTAAATTCAAAAAAGAAAATCATGAATACGCTACTTCTCAAAAGTAGCATTTATTAGTCGGTGGCACAGTTTTTATCAGATTATTAACATCCGCATTTTATTTATGAAAATTCTCAGAATTAGTTCCTTTTCAATCTAGAGATCGTCATACTTTGTTTATTTAATTAAGTACTAAATACTCATTTGATTTTCACTAGAATCTTAAAGTAATTTGAGCACAAACTCAAGAAAAAAAGGTAGCTTTTAAAAGTAGTTAGCCATTTGGCCTGAACTACCCACTCCAAATGTCAAAATAACGAGGTTGTATAGGCAAAACTGCCCAAAATTTTTGTATGCCATTTTTCTCTCTCGATTTTTTGATCAAATTGTCTTACGATCCAATTGGAAAGCATGAGTTTTTAGTATCTAAGTAAATAAATAGACAATGTTTCCCGACCTCTAGATTGAAAACGCTTCAATTCCAAGAGTTTTCGTAAATAAAATAGTTGAAGGTTACGATGAGATGAAGCCATTCGCGAAGTTTCAGTGGGATGTTAATGATTTGATAAATAGGGGTTCTGTACCATGGACCATATGCTTTTACTCTTAAATCATGAAAATCATATCTTCTGCGAACCATTTTTTACTTGTTACAAAAATTATTTTCATCTCAACTGTTACAAAACTAAAAGTTATTAAGGATAAAAAGTAACTGTTTCTAAGCCTTTGGCTTCTTTATTTATCTGAATCCTCTTGGTTCAAGTATCAAGTACTCTTATTTGAGACGTGATTCGTGACTGAACATTTCGGACTGCGATCAACAGTTGATTGCACATTAAACTCCCGTTCCTTCATTTATTGGGGACTCGGGCGAGGTCCTCCCTCCACGTTGACACACCTGGATCGAAGGTATTACAGTAGGTGAGTCAGGTTGCCCGGTGCGGTAACGCTTCGTAAACTAGAAGCACATTGTGCCATGCGTACAAGTCGCCAGCTGCTTCCAGTAAAAACCAGGCAGCTGCGAGTCCATTATCTACTTGTTATCCGCTGAGGCAATCGGTGTCAGGATTTCGATTCCATTTCTCTCTTCGAAATCAACCCCAGTCGTCAAAAGTCAGTTTTGAAAAAGAAATTAAGTAAAAAAGGAATATCGTCGGGTTATTGCAAAAAGTCATCGAGTGCATTTTTGATGTAGGTTAACTTTCGAATATGTTTTTTTGTAAATCTCGACCTTATTTATTTATACAAAAGAGAGAGGGGTAATGTAATGATAGGACGCTGACTTAAAATCCATAAGGTCCCAGATTCAAGTCCGGCAGATGAATTATTTAATAGGTTTCGACGGCCGTGGATTAACCCTTGGGTCGTGAGACCCTACTGGGTATAGCCAGACCATGTAAAATGGGTACCCTAAATTAAATAATTGAGCAAGGGGGAAACCTGCTGGCTGAGCTCGATTTTGGTCAAATCAAGTTGCACATTATAGATTTAGTACTTCCTTGTGCATGCAAATGTATGTATATATATATATAAACGTTCATGCTTAAACCTCCCAAAATTATAATAATGATAATTACTTAGAAAGAAAAGTAAAGTAACTAATTACTAGTAGTGTTGCCCAAATGCGAGCAAACTCAGGATTGGTCATGGTCTTGCGCAAGAGTTTCGCAACGGTCTTGTAGTTACTTATTAGCTTATTACTATAGAGATATTACTGTAATTTTTTTAGATAGGAGAAACCTAAGTAAGCCCGAATGAAAAATTGGTCGATTTAAATGCAAAAGTATATTGGTTATACCAATTATTAACATACAGATTGTCAATTATTAGTAACTATTTCGCCTTAATTTTTATTTAAAAAATTGATTTTTTTTTATCAGTCCTGGTCTTGGTCTTACAACAGTTAGGTAGCCTTGGTCTTGGTCTTGCAAAGTGCAAGACTAAGACCGATTTTGGGCAACACTAATTACTAGGGATCGACCTATATCGGAATTTTGGCCGATACCGATATTTCAAAGGCCGATTTATGGTTTCCTCCCCATTTCGTCAAAGTTTCTATAGTTTCACATGGAATACCCTTCTTATTTATAAATAATTTTAACCGATAAAACTATACTTCAGCATATTGGCCTTTCATTTCTATATGTTTAGTATTTTACCGAGATAAATATATTTAAACCATTTTTTAAAATTTATTTATTTATTTTTTTTTTTACCCTCCTGGCTCCAGAGTTTGAGCAGATATCGATATTCTAACACCGATATATCGGCCTTATGACCTTATTTTATTATGATTTATAGAGTTTCATTTGCAATAAACATTGTTTTCATTCCTAATAATGTGTCTTCAAGGAATTAACATAAACATAAATTTGAGAGAAGACCGATAAATCGGCACCTCGACAATTTTTTTTTATATACTTATTTATTATGCATATAAAGTATATAATAATTTTTATTATTTTTACATTTTGAGGATAGAAGTTTCAGCTCGAAAGCCTCACCCCTCCTTAGATGTGGTCTTTTATTTAATTTTGATTGTAATTCATATCCTCCACACATTAGGCCCCAAAGATAGTAAAAGAAGCCTATTCTTCGGTTCCTCCTGGGGTTGTTGGCCTGGTAGAGACTCCTGCGGGAGTAGAACACCCTTAGATTGGCCATTGTCGAGATACCCGGTTCATTTATTATTCGAGGAGACAGCGGTCGGGAGAGGACTGCCTATAAAAAGTTTCATTTGTGTTTAGCTGAAAGGTGAGGTACCCACCATTTGTAAGGCGAGCTTACCTTCCCCCATTATGGAAGGTGGTGTGTAAGTCAGGTCTAATCCACCGATTTATGTGAGTCCGATTGTCTGCATCATCGTCTCATTGTGGACGATCGCCGTAGTGGATCTACCATCCAGTCTTGTTAAGTACCTCCCGTCTGAATTTAATATTTTGTTTTCAAGTGGATAATTCCTAATTAAATTACTGTTCTAGAGATAGGGGGGAGGCTCTTATCCTGATAGCATTATATCTAATAGATCATAGTGGCAGAGATTAGTACTTGAAGAGGGTTGGAACTTGCTCCTGAGCCAGGTGGTTGGTGGTAACCCCTTGCCATTGTCAGCCCCGGGCTCAACAAGTATTCAACAGTGCCTATTCAACTATTCAACAGGCAACTGCCACTCCACGCTATTGTTTTTCACTTGTGGCGAAATGTTTCCTTTGCACTCAATAATAACAATAACTACTAAGAATAATGTGCTTTATTTGTTCTGGGACAAGTTGGTCGGTGGTACATACTCAATCAAACTTCGTGAATCTTATCGTAAGCTAAGACTTTTTTTTCTACGTTTTAATTATTTTAAATAATTTAATGAGGTACTAAAAACTCATAAAAATCTATTTTGGCATTCTGGGGATAGGTCACGCCTTAACGGCCCGATATTTTTGTAGGCCACTTTTTCTCAATTTTTGTGATAAAATTATTTTATTTTTTTGTTAAGTTTTTAATGAATCATTTAATCGACAAAGTTAAATAATTTTATAGTACCGCGAACTAAGAACCTTCAGAATAAAATACAATAACAGAATTGTAGTGGGTAAGCCTCAGAGAAATACAAAAAAAGAATAACAAAAAAAAATATAAGTTACCTTCTAAATCAGTTAAGAAAAAAAAAATGATTAAAAAGGAATTAATAATTTATACACAGTTAAGACCATCCAGACAGTTCAGAAGAGATGAAGTGGTATTTACAGGCTTGAGTATTGAATACAGCCGTCTCACCCACGGCTAATGACAAACTAGCCAACTCCAAACCGTCAGTACTGTCAAACAACCCTCACAACGAAGCTCATACCCGAACACTGTGCTAAATATAGCAGGAAAACGGCCTACTTAGCCATACCTAGATCTCTCGCCAAGGCTTAAGTGAGGACTGTAGTTACCTTAACAAAGTAACCAATTTTTTAAAAAGAGATTACTTTAAAACAGAGCACTTCACAATAATATCTAAAACACTATCAATTTGGCGGATAATCCAAGAAAACTGGTAATGATAACCACAGAAGTTTTTTGCCCTATAAACCAAAATAAAAAAAATTATACACATGCTAACAAAAATACCATTTTTATAAATAAAAAGTTATTGAACTGTGGGATTTAAAGATGGTATTGAATGAAAGATAGATCCGGATCGTTCGGAGTAAAGCCGTGGTTTGGTTCGTCATCTATAAATTTGAAGATAGAGGACGGGTATTGCGGAAATGGACAGAGGATATGGATTTAAGGAAACTCTGATAGGTATTATGGACGGCGGCGGGATTGGATGACTTGGTTGAGGAAGTATGAAGTCATTTCAAATCTTCATAATAATAAGCCATCTCTGGGGATCTTGACGAATTATACAAAAAGCAATTTATCAAACATTTTAGGTTATCCTCGAAATCACAAGAGACGGAAGTTACCAGGAGCCTACGGCTTTCTACTAGAAACTGGACGGAAACTGTTTCAAGAAAAGAATTTGATCAATGGTTATAATGGTGGTTTAAAATAAATAGCAGGTCTTCTTTTAAATCTTGTTGAATAGATCAGAATAAAAACTAGGAATTTCAAATTATATCCAGGTAATACATCCTCAGATAAGAATGGCGTCTATTCGAAGGTCTAATCTCATTTTCCTGATAATGGCACGTTGATAAATCGTTTTTTATGTTGTAGATAGTTTCGTGCCCTGAGTTGGCAACTACAACAGCTCTTTATTAGTAGCCTACTTAGGAGAGAATTGCCCTCAATGTGAAAGGTGTATGAAACCTGTTGCCTGTACTCCGGCCTAACAAAGACCCCCGGGCAGCTGCCATGATTCGGTAACCAGTTGCTCCGGCGATGCATAAAGATGTTAATGTAGATAACACTCCGTACACCTGCCCCTTGACGACATGTGCTCGGAGTAGGTTTCCTGGCCGCCTGTAAACATCGGCATTTCTCGGAGTTCGTTCATCTTTGACCGGCGAGATGAAAAAGGTCGAGGGGCAATATTGACAGAGCGGCCGTGAATGGAGTTGGTGGTGGGGATTCGGCCTTGGGTCTAGACTGTGGCCGCAGCAATCACCACCATTGGTCCCTCGGCGAACCAATCACCTTCTAGAACGTGCTCGGGTCCGCCTATCGAAAAAGAAACGCATTACCGGCGTATCCTTGGCCTTGAAGGTAATTGGGGCGCCACGATTCACAGGATTTTCGCGATTCGAACACGTCTTTTTTCAAGTCTCAAAAGTCAATGCTGATTCCTCGAATTAGGGAAGGAAGAACATACAGAACGTCCGGAATGTAATCTTCCGATCTTAGTCCAAAGAGGATGCTGGAATCTCGTCATAACTCCTGAGACGGAGCGAGCGAGTCTTCTTCCCTTTTTCTCGATGGAATGCGCGGGAAGCTTCCTCTAGGCGCCAAATAGACACGCTCCTTTCTCTATATCCTTTACGGTGCGTTAGGCCCGTTCTCGGTGAATACCTCTGGATTCTTCCAGTCATTGTACTACTGGAATCAATCACGGCAGAAAAAAATGTGATAGCTACATCTTTAGTACTTTGGTGTAAACAAGTTTGATCGAGGATGACCGTGTAGAAACCTTTACTCTTCATTAATATACAAATCGACTTACGTATCTAATTTAAAAAAATACATTAACAAGGCGAGATCAATAATACAATATATAAATTATAAATAATAACTCATTATAAAGAGGATAAAATGTTGAACATTTACCTCGCTTACATTATGCAGGTCAGATTTTTAATTTATAGTTTCTGAGATATTTTAATCCATATGTAAAAACATTTCAATCGACTCTAGTTGACTTTATCCGAGCGTTAACACTTCTCAAATCTGACTGATCAATCAAATTCATTCTCAACAAAAAAGTGCAAAAAGGACCTAAAGAAGTTTTTATTAAAAAAATTAACTCAAGTTGAAGCCTACAGTAAGTTTACTGTATCTTATATTTAATATTCGGAGCTAAGCCAGGGGACCTGGACTTAAAGATAGTCCCACAAGAAATTTTTAAAATTCTCAAATCAAAACTTAGTTTTCTATACCATTTGAAACAATGAAGTGATTGTACATATTATATATAATGTGTGTTGATTCAAATTAATCATTAATTATTTTTAAAAGTTTTTTTGTGAAGGGATGTTAAAAAGCCCCTAACCTCCTTGAATTCACTAGTGCAAACATCAGCATTTTATATGGTTCTACCTTTTTTTTTTTTTTTTTTTATAAAATAAACTAACGTTTATAAAATAACAGCATAAACGTATATGTTGAGTTCTCAGACAACCCTAGCTCTCTGTAGAGTTTTCCGTAAGTAGCCTTTGATTTGTGTCCGAAAACTGACTGTAGTGCCTATCGGCACACGGAAGCTTCCAATAAGTTTGTTAAACTTAAAAACGCCTCATAATTTAATTCTTAATTATTTATTTTATGTATTATCTTTAGTTGTCAGCAATTTCAGATAGCAAAGGTTTCCTTGTTAAAATTTAGGATGGCTCGTATTTTATTCTATACATATATATCTTTTTTTTTTTGGAAGATAGATTACGAGCTCATCCCGAACTAGATACACAATCGGATGTCACCTGGTGAAGAAGTGACGCCACCGGGTGTGTTTTGTTAGGTATATCGGCCCCCCCTAACTTATCGGCCTCCGAGCCAGGTATCGGGGCATTGTGTTCCTCATGCAGCTGGGGGGTTCGTGCCCCATTGTTACCCCCCTCACCTGGGCTGTCGGAAACAATGAGGGACTTATTCTTAGTCATTAGCATTATTAAACGGGCGGCTCTCATTCATACAATACCTCTTCGGCATTCTTAACAACGCTGCTAACCGCTCAAGATTGAGGGGTAGGCTTGGAAGGAACGGTCGCTAACCTGAGGAATAAAACGACAGTTGAAGATTTTTTTCTCGTATCTATTATTAGAGGCGTCTCATATTGAATGATGCATTCATTTACATTCGAATGAGGATGACAAAAAAATTGTCAGGAATTTCAGTCAAAATTTCTTTAATGGGTTAGCGGACGTTTCTACCCTTAAAAAATGGGCCTCATTAGGGCTGTGGTTTGAAAATTAAACAAGAAATTCATGACCCACATCTTAATATTTTAAGATTATAGTGAGCTTTTTGGTGCTCTATCAAACCATCAAACTCATCTCTTATCCAATCTTAGCTCCTCCAATCCTCTTATCCATAGAGATCTTAATTTAGCTCAATCCAGAAATCTATTCACCCATAACAAACTTTACACGCATCCAAATCCACTTGTTTCTAGCCTTGTATTATCTTTAATTCCTGATAATCCTCCTAGGCGTCTGAAAAGAAGATTGCCTCGGGACCTCATAATAGTGCAACCTACCAATGGATAGTTTTTCGTAAAGTCTGTACATATCATTTTACCAATTTACATTTGCATGTTGTATTTTTAGTTAATAATTATTTATTTATTTTATTTTATTGTTTTATAATAAATAAATTAAAAGATTCGCTAACATTAAGGGATGAGCAACTTCTTAAGGTTTCTGAAAAGCGTTGCAAAGAAGAATGAGTCAACCGGAGAATTTAGGCGGTTACACGACGCTGAATTGCGCGAACTGTTCCCGGTTAATATAATTTAGATGATTAAGTTGAGACGAATAAAATGGGCATGTAAAATCTAGGACCTTATGCTAGTAATGAAAGAATTCTTTAAAAAGTTGATATGCGCCATGCAGACTGGCAAGCGTCTGAGGAGTAGACCGAAGCGAAGGTGGGAAGATTGCTTTAAGACTGATCTTGCGGGGCTGGATTTAGACGGCGCCTGGTCGATAAAAGAATGTAGACATCGATTGGTGGTTATTGGCATCGAACCGCCGGCTTTACTGAGCCTTATTATTATTTTATAATTAATCTTTTTTCTTCTTTAAATTATCGTAATTACTAGAACAATGATGGTTTTAGGGACAAATGTTTATACATTTGCTTCTAAAAATATATTTACATTTAATATTTTTAGTTATTATTTAAACAGAAAACATATTGTGATTGTTTAAATATTTGATTCAGATCTCTCTAATCAGTTTCAGTCTACGCTTTGTTAATTATTAAATATACCATCTATTTTCCAACCTATTAATCATATATTGATAGAATCAAGCGCTTAAGACTCATTTTGGTATTAAATTTAATATACAATGTATTAATTATAGTCATAACTTTTGTAGACCCACTTTATCTTTAATCTTAAGAATCTAACCATTTCATATTATTAAAAAATATTATAGTAAATCATTAAGCATCTCAAATGTTTGTAAATAACTAATTTTTACGATGAAAATATATAAAAAGTCATTTACACATTTTAATAAGCTGTCAATTTTTTCGACAGCTTTTACTTCCTGTAAAGGTGACGATTACTGGGAGTCATAAAGCGAAACAAGTCACGCTTGGTTTGACTTTTGATGACTAAAAAAAATCTACCTCGGTGTGGATATCATCCCATCTGTTGCTCTATGGTTGATTGATTCGCTTTCTTTACTTTGATCATGATGGATTACGTTTTTTTTTCTACTTTAATTTTAAGTTTATTGGAGATGTTTTTATTCAAATATATCTACAGTTTTATTAATTTTTAAATTAATATATAATAATTAATACCTATTAATAAAAATTAACTAACAATACATGAAACCAATGGTCACCTCATAAAGGTCATGTTATGTTAGTTCTTGATAAAGAACTTCTGTTTAGATAATTGCTCAACTTAAACATTATTGACTAAAAGTTGTTTCAACACAATTTTGTTGATTAGCAGTTGAACGATTTCAGGCTTAAACCTCATGAAAACATTAGGGCCTTGTAGTAAGAGAAGTTCTTACACCTTTCTCGCTTATCAGGAGCGATGATTTTGATTAAAGAAATATCAAAATAAAGAAAATTCGTAGAGTAGTGCCGACATTATTTTTTTTTTTGTTTGCAGATTTCAAAACTGGGATGGTTTTGAAAGTCTGCCCATCAAGAGAGAATAAATTTTGTTAAAAATTTATAACATAAAATTTAAAACACGAACAAAACTCGTTATTATTTGGTTTTCGACACTATTTTATCCCTTTCCGACTCTCTAATCCGGCCTTGACGCAAAACTATAGCTTTTATTTATAGCTCATTACTAAGAGGATGGAATGCTAATAATTTCCCTAGCTTATTGTATGCAGGTCCGAATTTTAGTTTTTAAGATATTTCAATCCATATGCAAAAAACTTCGGTGACCCGAGCCGACTTTACCCGAACTTCACTTCCGAACCTGACTTCCTAAAATTAATCCCCCCAACTTGTAATACATTGCATTACCTTTTTTTTTTATATTATTTTGTCATTTGTTAACTTACCAATGTATCAAGTGAATTATTCGCTCGGGGCTTCTAGTTTTGATTATTTTTTTAATTATAATTAATTTATTTTAATATTTATTGTTTGCCTTTATCTTTATCCTTGAGGTTGCGAGATACCTAGATAGAGGCGTGGGCAGCCCCCTCCAAAGATATTTGGCGAAAGCAAGGACCTCGTTGGGGCGCTGACCTCTGAGGCGAACCTTTAATATAATAACCACCACCTTCTCTCATCCCCATTCTCTTTCCCAGACCTGAATTTAGAGAGTGACGCACCCTATCCTGCGTCCTTCGCTCCTTCGTCCTCATTCCTTTTCTGTCTATTGGTCCTTTTAAAGGTGTTCGGCGAATTCCTTCTTGTCTTGTCCGAGGGCCATTATACTTGTCAGTCAGATTTTTTTTTTTATATTTCGAGACTAAATGGTCCACATTCCAACATCATTATATATTCGATAATAGGGCCGATATTCTAAATTAAAATAGATATATATATACCTTCATTACCTCTTTTTTTTTTTTTTTTGTGTGGTTATACCAGTTTCGAATCCAATTACATAACCAGGTCCTGGTTCTTCTAATTATTAAGAAATAATATTAGATCCTATAATAGAAACAATTATTTTTAATTTGTGAAGTACTTATTTGTGAAGATTCTTATCATCAATCGTTTAGTAAAACACCTCCAATCAGTAACGTTAAGATGTACCATGAAAAAGGAATCGTGCTCAATTTTAAAACTACCCGTGCGACCTTTTCATTAATCTGAAATATATATATATATATATATATATATATATATATATATATATATATATATATATATATATATACTTTATTTATTTTTCTTCTAATCTTTACGCATAATCACTTTAATATCTTAAAGAACATATGTAAATCTTTTTTTTTTTTTTTTTTGTTTTTACAATTTCTTTCCTTACATATTTACAGTTATTATTATTGTTTTAATTTTTATATTCCATCACTACAATGCTTTGCCTATAAAATTGATTTTGCGTTCCTTTCTAATTTCATTTAGTGATTATTATGCTATTGTTTTAGCTCAAATATTGTAGTACTGAACCCCTATTACCCAACTGTTCTCGTTAATTTATCCTAAGAGCATAATTAATACTTAATTTATTACTAGTATTTTGTTATTATTCATTGTAATAAGTCTTTTGACCAGATTTATGGTTAATTTATATGAACAATACTGTTATTCTAAAGGGACCTAGTCCCAGAATAAAGATGATTTTTCTATTTCTAATTCTATATATTAAAAGGCCACTGAAATTATCTTACTTTTTTTCAGTTGTTTCTCAATTACTCTATACTAACACTTTTATCATTTTTTAAAATCTTCTAACATTTGTTATTATTTTACTTAGCCTTTTAATTTGGCCTATTCAACCACTTTGGTCATTTTAGCTCTTGCACGATATTTGAAACTACTAAAAAAAAAAAAAAAAAAAAATAAATAAATAAATTTTTGAGTGTAGTTCAGATTTTTAAAGTAACAAACTTTTTCACCATGATACGTTTCAAAATCTCAGTTCTCAATCCAACTTTATCTTGGTCTTTTGTGACGTGTTTCTTCTCTTTCTGTTGCAGAAATGGGAAATACTGATCGCTGCCAAACTGAAATGGAACCTGAGCGCCGTTACTGCCAGCGACTTCCTCGGCCACCTCTTGTACAGCATCCCCTTGGAGCACGACACACAGGTGATGGTGAGGAGGCACGCTCAGACCTTCATCTTCTTGTCAGCTCGTGGTGAGTACATCTTCTTTCACATCTTCTTTCTTCTCTATAAGAACTCTAGAGCCGATAGACAGTTTCTTCGCCGTCTAAATTAATGACGTTGTGGTCCCATTGAAAGGAGGTGGGACCCTCAACTATGTGGTTTGGAGATACCACAAACCGCAGCCGTCGGAACTCCAGACTTAAAGAGAACTCCGCCCAGGCTATTGGTTCGCCAACCTCTTCTCTGACCTTGTTTCTCTTTGTCTTCTTTTTACTTTTTTTATTATTCTTTTTTTTTCCACCATTGCTCTGTTATTAAATAGGATCTTATAACGCAAAAGGTATTTCATCTTAATAAACCTGAGTGCTTTTTTTGTCAATATCGTAAATTAATACAAAATTATATTTAAAAAATCTGGATGTCAGACCCATATATACAAGTTAAATAAATTTCCCGCATTTTTCGCAAAATATTTCTCATTTCGATATTCAAGTTACAGGCCTAATATCCTATATATCAGCCGCCATTTTTAAAAGCAGTGGTTATAGAATGGCAGACAATGCGTATTTTACTGAGAATAACGTACACTTTTGTGTTAAAATCGAATTTACTGACGGCCATATTTACCACACATCTTAAATAAGTTTCTCGACTTTAACACATTTAAGGTGTTTACAGTACTGCCTTTGTTGTTTTATGGAAGCCCCTCTACAACCAAATAGGCAGAAAGGAATCCGTTTCGAATGTGTTTCATGAAAGTATTATTTTTATGGGAACATTATCTCTACCTTAATTCAATTTTTTGTTTTCGAACGACACGAAAGCCCAAAATTTCACAATAATGACTTAATTCTTCTAATTGAGACATTATCATACATCATAGAAAATATACACGAAACTGTCAGCCGAAATGATGGGGTGTTCAACAAACAGCGACCGAAGTCACTCATTTACGAACTGATGAGGGTATGGGACACCATCAATCAACTATAGATTGTCTCTCCGATAGCTAATTAAATTAGGTAATAATTAATCTTTCTGTCTGATAGGGTGGTTATTACTTAAAAAGAAAAAAAAAATATTGGTCAAACGGGACCAAAGAGACTGTATCCTGCTTCTAAATCGCTTCTTAAACCGGAGATCGCTTCCGGTGTCATCCCAGTTTCCGACAGCTGCCATCGGGAACAGTTATATTCCAGGTGTGTCCTACCTGGAACGACGCGCAAATTTGCCACCTGACCAGGACAAAACAAACACTGGCATTATACCCTGGGGTGACGATTAGACCAAGATGAAGCCATTAACGTCTTAGGGTCAGATTGCCTCTAATAGGCTGTAAGATAATTCCATGGTTGAGTAAAAGGTAGCCATTGGTACACTAGAGGAGAATTAGGAACTTGAAAGATCTATTCAGAATAACACGTGATAGCTCTAGTTAAGTCTTAAATTTCCAAAAATGGCTCGAATTCAGCCCCGTATCCTTTTCAAGTTCAACGTTTACGGCAGGCTAACTATAAGCCTATTTGGTGAATTTCGTCTAAAATTTCGTGAATTTTTATCTACGAAAATTCTCAGAAATAAATTATGTTATTAAATTAATTAATTTAATGTGGTGCTAAAAACTCATAAATACTCATTTGCTTTCCACATGAATCGTAAGATAATTTGATCACCAAATTTAAAAAAAAAAATGTGGTCTACAGAAATATATGACCTCGTTATTTTGATATGTCGGAGGTGTAGACAACGCCTAACGGCCAAATATTTTTGCACGATTATTAATTTAGTGAAAAACATACGGACCTCCAACTCATAACAGTTGACCAATATATAACGATCCTTTACCAACTAATTTAAACGGATATCACAACAGATTAATAAAAGACATGGCCAGAGATGATACACACCTGAACATGAGGTGGATAGTAAAAAGGTGTTGGGTGAGAGATCTCCTTCATTTAACAACCTAATTAATTGTAACAAGCCAGGGAAGAGGTGCAGCTGAGTACTTACCTTCTTGATGTCTGACATGTCATTTAAATCTTATTTTTCTAGCACATTTTGTGATTGTTAATAAAAAGTTGACAGCCGCAAATTGAATTTTTTAAGCAAAAAAAAAAAAATTTTAGCAAAAAAAAATTGACAGAATATGTTTAGTTTTTATCCATCTCTTTCATTATATAAATAAAACACATTTTTTTAAAAAGTATTGTTACAACATAAAAGAATCTACTGTATCCATTGATTGGAGCGCTATCATTATAACCTTAAAAGATTATCGCCAATCATATGGTTTCGCTGTTATTAAAAAACCCTACCGTTACGTTTTTTAAAACGCTGTTGTTTCTTTTTGACTATTATAAAAAAAAAGTTAAAATAAAAAAATTGACAAGCTATAAATATTCTTAATCGAGTGATAATATTTGAGATTATTTCTTTTCTTTTACTAGATTTAATTAGATGTGAGTTCGTCCATCCGGTTGAATGCCTCTTCAGAGAAACGGGGTTGCGATATGTTTTATCATACATAAAAAAATTAATTGAGAAATAAATCCAATACCGGTTTCCTCTTGGAAATTATTCTCATGGTATAGTAATCAATGGTCGAATGAATAAATAAACACAATAATTTTATTTTGGAAATTATATTAACTGTAAAACATTCAAAAAGTATTTTCTAAATTCTTCAAGTATGATTTTTTTTTAAACTTCTTTATTTTACAAAAAAAAAAAGTAATAAAAAATTAGAAGTGATAATGTTTAGTTAATTTTACTTTCTAAACCAAACTTAAATATCATTGAATTTAAAAACACTGGGACTGAGAAATGTAAATGTATATGGAGTTGGTACGGCTCGGTCCAAAAATATCAAGGACCCGGATAAGAGTCCTGCTGATGAAAGGTAATTATTTATTCTATTTCATCAGCCGTGGGTCGACCCTGGGATCGAGAGACCCTCCTGGAGCACACTCAGCCTTTATAAATTGGGTACTCTTAATCAATTATCAGGGAAAACCTGGCGGTTGTGCGTGATCTTGGTGAAATCTCCTCCTTGCACAGTCTTACCAAGAATCAGTATTTTCTTGCATAGACCCTTCATGGATTGTAGTAGTACAGTTTTTTTTTTAATTGACAACAGAAATAAAATAAATATTAAAAGATCCCTCCTTATAATCTAGAAAGTGTCAGAGATGATTTTTAACACGTTCGCTGCTAACAATGAGTAATTTCGTAAATCTTTCAAACTCGTAGTATTTCCTAGTTTTTCGTGGCTACAAAAAACAAAAATTTAGGTATTTTGAAGTTAGACTAAGACTGCAATTGTTTACTGTTAATTTAGTGATCTCATAGCTAAATCGGATTTCGGAAAGTATATTTTAAGTTTCTCCTCATTAGTTTTTGTTCACTTTAAATATTATTGTATGATCTGCCCTAAGCATATGAATAGTTACACGATGTTTGACACCATATTAAACTTAATATAAAAAAAAAAACTTAAACTTTGCGTGGTGGTTGGTAAAGAATGCGAATAAAAAGACGAGAATAGTGGAGGGGGGTGTGCACGGGCGACGTAGCGGCAGTAAACATCCCCCCACCCTTCACACCCCCTCTCCTATCCCCCCCACCGCTCTTTCGCTTTATGAATGAACGTCTGCCACATCTCGTCTCCCTTCACTTTCTATTTCGCCTCTTCTCCGTCTCACCTCTCAGTTTCTTACATTATCAATTATCAATCAATTAAATAAATAAATGTTGTAAATATATATATTATTTTAGTACTTATTAATATATATATATATTATTCATTGATATTTACAACTGTATTTAATATATATAAAAAAAAAAATATAACCTGTATCACTACAACTCATTAATGGATTATATGAGGTTTTTACTACTTTGTAGGAAAGCAATGTTTCTTGGTCAACGTCATTGACAATCCTAAGAGAGGAGGGAAGCAGCTATTTTGGCTAAAACCCCTCCCTAATAAGAAAATCTTTCTTTATTTGGTTCATATTTGTTTCTGTGAGTGATCTGAGTAAACAGTCGTGTTCTCTTAATAAATTATAGAATTAACTTCAAAATAAATTTAATGGATTAAATTTATAAATGCTGTTTTTATTCAACAGTAAAAGTTAAATTGGAGTAGTTCAATGGTAGGGCGCTGATTTCCAATGCTTAAGGTTTCAGGTTAGAATCCAGCTGATGGAAGATAATTTATTTATTCTTATTCGTCAGCCGTGGATGGACCAAGGGGTTGAGATACCCCCTAGGTCTCATCCAGCCTCTGTATAGTGAATATTCTTAATTAAATAATTAATTAAGGGCAAAATCTGACGGTTGAGCGTGGTCTCAGTCAAATCATCCTGCACTACCGTTAACCAAGAAACAGTTTTATGATATTAGTTGAAAATCATTAGTACGTTATTAGCTACCTGTCCTTTTTTTACGAATTTTCCAAATGCAATATTTTGAGAAGAAACATTTTGTGAATTTATAAGAAAAAAAAAACAGTTTTAGGAAAACCGTCTATAAAAATGAGTTAACTGTCCCAAGCGCAAACGATGGAGTATAAATAAAAAAATATATTTTAAAATGACAGGTGAGTTACGGAAAAAAATAAAATCTAATGAATTTATTTGTTTTTAATACAATCATATATTCAAAGCGAGTACAGTTTTATCTGTTGAATTAATTGCTACATATTCTTGAAAAAAAAACATTAAAATTATCCTTGAAATATTTATGGACTGAGAGAGGGGATAGACGAAAAACGATAAAGTATAAATATATACCCCAAGATCCACCACATTAAGAGCCTCGGAATGCCGTATCGAAGCCCGACGTATAACTTGATACCATTTATCTCACGTTCTCAGAACTAAGGAAACTGTGTGTCAGGAACATCCGTGAGCTCTTTACTTAGAGCGGGACCAATTTTATCCAACAAAAGAATATATTTTTAAAACGGAATATTATAAATAATAATAAGAAATAACCTCGCCGGAAAACTGAATTCAAGGTTTCT